TTCGATTCTAGCTTTATGTTTATTTGGATAGCTTGATCTTGAGTTGCTAAAACAAAGCCTGAATAAAAACCACGTTACTTGCCATTTCTGTAATAAAAATGATATCCATGGATCCATGTTTACAGGTTCTTAATTCAAATTAAATAACAAAAATTTTTTAATACTAGGTAGTCAGTTAATTAAAACTGGTTTTTACACCGAAACTAAAATTAAAATATAAATAAAAGCAATTGAAACAATATTTTGGAAAGTGTAGATAAAAGTACTTGTTGTCTGTCTTGATTGATTTGGTTATATTTCATCCAGGCAGAGTTGAGTCTTTATTTATAGCACTTGTAAAGTGATGGTTTCAGTTAGTGACAGAGCATTTTGCTTTTAATATATATATATATATATATATGTGTATATATATATATATACACATACTAGTAGTCCAGGATGCCTCTGGTGGGCATTCTTTACAAATTCCCATGAGGCACATTTGATCCACTTAATATATGAAAGTTTAATGCACTTAATTTTTTTAAAAGTTTGATGCATTGTCTTTTCTGCCCCCCCTTTGCCACATGGTAGGTCCAACTCAGTCCGGGAGTGAGAGATTTATTAGGGACGTTAGTGACATTAATTAAAAATAATTATTTAGTGTTATTAAACATTCTATAAATAGTTTAATTTGTTTATTTACCTTTGCTGGTAACCCTCGATGTTAAATGTATCCGCCATTTTTTCAACAAATTTCCCATGAGTCAATCGGGACATTCCAATTTTCAACGCGCATGTTGAGTGTTGAAGTCAACAATTTGACATCATCAATGACATTTCAACTCGAGTACGAAGTGCTTAGTTCCCCTAATTCCATTCTCAACAAGATGGATTCCATTCAAATGTCTTACCAATTACCCACAATTCGTTGGAAAGTAGCAATCAACATATCTGTTGAGTGCTGAATGCATTGAGGTAGCGCTCACAACAGCGCTACCTCAATGTTGAAAAAAGGGACGAATTTTAACAAATGTTGAGATCAGCGCTGAAAATTGGAATGTCCCGAATGCTTGATGTTCACTGAGTCACGGGATGTAATTAAAAATAATTATTTAGTGTTATGAAACATTCTATAAATACTTTAAAATATTAAACTTGACCCATACTTGGCCCTTTTGATGTAACAGGTGTTGTATTGTGCTTTTTTCTGTCCCCCTTTGCCACGTAGTGGGTCCTACTTGGTCCGGGGGATGAGAGATTTATTAGGGGTGTTAGTGGATACCGTTACAGGCGTGATGCGACAATGGCTTATATATATAGATTATATTGCATTTGTAGGCATTTTTATGCATGAAATACAGCTAAAAAGGTTTAAGAAGAGACTGCTATGATCTTTGCATCAGGGGAATCTTGTGCAAAGGAATGCTTGCATATGCAAGCATTCCTTTGCACATGGCACAGACAATAGCACATCTTTAACAGTGCTTCAATACTGTGCTAACTGTCGAGATTAAAGCTATATGGTCTATAATTGTCATGTGGATGCTGTGTCTGTCATCACATACTGACGTAACATTTTGTGTCCACTGCCAGATTTGTGACTCATCTGGTACTCTTCAGCCAACTGCTTCCACACACACACATCACTGTCATGGTATTATGCGACATATGAGTTGCAATTTTGGAATAAGAAAATCCCCCTTCACATAGACCAATCATTCACCTTGTTCAAACTCCATAACATGCTCATATGGTACCCTTTGTCATCAATGAGGCATAATGACTTTAATGAAACATTTACTGCTGGCAGATGATGATACACTACTGCCCTCTATTTATACAGCTAATATGACTGTTCAAAGGGTGCTTCTCAGCCCATGCATAAACTATCACTTTGATAATTAATTATTTGCATGTTGGACCATACTTTTCATTTCCTGTAAATTTCAGTTTATTTGTATGATTCCTGCATGGCGTTGCAATTTTTACAAACATGAGTGTATAATTATCAAGCTTTGAGATTTTTATATTTGTATTGTATTTCTCTTCACTTTTATATTTCTTGTCCATTTTTCTTCATTCCTTGTTCATTTACTACCACAGTTTTGATTTCTGTTGTTTTATTTTTACTATTGTCTCTAACACTTGCAACCACTTCCATATCAGCCATGTTTGTTCTTTTTACATTTGACTTAACATAGCTGCTTTATTCGTTGTTTAAGGTTAGAATAGTATTGCATCAATTCTGAACATTTCTGAACTAAGAGCATTAAACATGATTGCTAGAACTCATGTTAAATATTAAATTTTGTCTGAATTCATAGTGACAGTAATAGTTAATATCATGAAATGCAGAATGAAAGAATTAGTGAGAATTTGGTGTTGGTAGGATTAGAGCACAGTTGTGTTGAGCCTTTCAATTATATAAAACAACCTTATTTCACAAACATCACTTGAACATATCAAACTAGAAGTTGCACAGCAAATACATCAACACACGGAAATACTAGATCAGATGGTAGATCAGATATTCCATGAAGTATCTGAACAACAGTCACTCAATAAAACATATACAGCATAATATGCAGCAATGAAAACACTAATACAGCAATTACAACTAGTGACACTAGACACTATAAACACACCCACTGATTTAATTAACACACTCACTAATTTATTTGAAGAAACACTTATTAAATATACAGGTTTAGTCCCCCTACAGAGACCATGAAAACCCAAAATACATATAAAATATGAGAAACACTGGTGTAGACTTTTCAATAATAATCATGATGTATGCGTCATGATTATTATTGAAAAGTCTACACTAGTGTTTCTCAATCTTTGAGGCCACTGAACACTATTTGTATACTTTTTATTATATGGAGCATTAGCATCAGTATATTCAAAACTCTATAAGCATTTTTATTTTTACTATTCTGATGAAACAATAAAGTAATAAACTTTGTAGACAGTTCCATGTTTCTATTTTATTGAATACAATTAAGTAATATGTTATAGTATAATGGAATAAATTTGCAATAACTTTTTTGTGGAACACTTGAGGCACACAAAATGCACTCAAATGTTATGCAAAAATGAATTTCTCTTCCTAGAATGTTTTTAATGTCGAAGCTTATAAAACAGATGGGTCTTTAAGGCCCCTCATGAATAAGCTTAGCCATATCACATTTCTCTTAGAAAAGAGTTATTTACATGCTTAGTTAAAGAATCCATATATATAGTCAATTCAGAGTGCCAAATTCATACTAGTGTATCAAAATGAAGTTTTATAAAATTGATGTATGCAGCTTATACCCATCTATTGATCCCATTGAGGCAATAAAGTTTATGGAAATATTGCTAAGACATGATGTTGATAAGTGTAATGTGAAAACTATTTTAGATTTACTTTGATTTTCCAAACAAATTAGTTTAGATATAAAGGTAAATTTTGCTTGTAACAATCAGGAGTGCCAATGGGCTCACCCTTATCAGCACTCTTGGGCAAAATAGTTATGAGAAAATTAGAAGAAATGGTTTGTCACAGACCTTCACAATTCTATATCTAGTATTTTGGCACAGGTGCATAGACAACATATTAATAGAATGACAGTATGAAAAGAGTGATTTCAATATCTTCTTTATCCACATCAACATCTTATTATCTATACAGTTTTCCCTAGAAACACAGAATGTCATGACAGTTATGTTTCTTGATTTTTTTTATATCTAACCCAATAACGTGTTTGTCTTTAGTGAGTACCACAAAAACAACATACCCCAATTTTCCCCATAAAGGAATTTTACCAGTTTGGTAGATTTGTAAATGCTGCATTCACTGCTCACATTTGAAGGGTATATAAATATTCTTCATTTAAGGCTGCTTTAGAATTAGAAATAGATATCATTAGGAATTCGTTGAACAGTAGCTTAACAAATTTTAAATCTTCAGTCAACAAATATATATACTGAATCATCTTCCAGCTATTCTGATACTGGATAGAAAATTATGCTTCTCTTCTGTCCCAATATCCTTTCTAGGAAAACATCACATATAATTTATTAAAATTATAAGAATCTACATTTCCTCTTACCAATAACATCCCAGCCTGCCTTAAATGATTATGCTGTAATGATAGATAGATGGGAGTTTAAGGAAGAAATGGAAGTACAGTACATACTATACCACTAGAAAAATCAGTAAGCAGATCTTTTATTTTATTTTGATGTAACAGAGGAATCTAATCAAGACTGTTATAGAATACCAAAGGGATGTAAAATACCAAAGAACAACAACAGGTCTGGCCACACTAACAATAGAAGATAATTATGAACCTAAGTGGGACCAAGACTAAATTACTCAGCCCAGAAAGTCAAAATATTTTATTCATAACAGAAGGCATATATATTAAAAGAAACAATATGTCAATGTTTCTCCATTAAAATTTTGTGTCTATATGGGTTATGTCATTTCTTTTTAGTAGCAGGTATAGCATTTTCCTCTTGTTTTTTTTGTAAGAAGAAAGAAAACCCAGGGTTGCTTTTACAAATGTCTTGTTCAATTTTTAAAATTTTAAATTTAAAAATGAGTGCAATCATTCAATTCTTTTTTTTTTTTTTTTTTTGAACATTAACTGATGAAGCTTTTTATGTCAAAAGCAAGTGCTTTTTATTAAAAGCAAATTTATATCATAGATTAAGGTTAAATTTCATTTTGATTGATCATTTCTGAGAATTAAAGTGAGAAAGCTACTTAAATGAAATGTGAGTTACAATATTGATTGATTGAATACTGAAAAATAAATATTATTATTATTACTATATATGCTGATTATTTTTGTCATTGGCTGAAGAAAGATTCGGCTACTCTAACTTCATCATAATCTATATATATTGCTGTTTCCTTTTTACTGCTGATTGACAGTACAAATATGTTATTTTTAAGTATTTTAACTATAAATAGAATACGTAACAAATATTTTGTTAGGAATATTCACTATATTTTCTTACTTCTATGCATTGTCTATAGGATGGCTTTAAATTATGTTATGCAATGTATATATGTTTCTAAATATACAAGTATTACTTATTAATTTGTATTATTATTAATATATTAATTCTTATTTAAAACAGGTGGGAATTTTCATCCAAAAATTGAAACTAATCTATTAAATAGTGAAGAAGAATCTAATATTGATAATGCAAGTGTTATAAGTGTAGCATCAGATTCTCGATATGGTAGTGATGATGGAACATGTAAGTATTTAAAATAATTATATGAAATTTAGATAAATTTATATTTGCATTTGCATTAATAAAATGATAGATTAATAATGACTTCATTTGCTAATTGATTTTTTGTTATTAATCAAAAATGACGACACATTATTATTAGAATAGTAATAATTTTTTTATTGTAATTTTACAAAAGAATTTAACTTTAATATTTGTTTTGCATCAAGTTTTGATGTGAGTAATTTTTGTTTTAGTGTAATTTTTTTTTGTTATGTAATGCCATTTACTATGCATAAAAATTGCTTTTAGTTTTACAATGGTTCTTTATATTTCACTCATGCTTTTAAGAATATTTTTTGTAATTTAAATATTTCTTTATAAGTTAATTAATTTTGTTTTATTAAATTTGGGAATTGTTGGTCATTGTTATAGTAGATTCCCCTATAGCATGGATTCATATATTATGGATTTGTATAACATGGCGAAAAAATTGCGATCATATTCATATAAACACGCTAAGAGAGACTTGTATGATACGGTAAAACGTCAATCGTGTCGCAACAGGATTGGTCAGATCTAGTGCAATATCCACTATTGGTCTCAATAGTGGATATTGCACAAACTGTTGAGTTTAAACGAGCAGCGGACCTACTAAAAACCATTTATTATTTAACAACCATAAAAATTATATTTATATTAATGATGTCACCAAAGTTCAGCGAATTTTTCACAGAAAAATAACTTATTGGGAAACACGTGCTTGCTGTTCAATTCGCCGTCCATGACGAAAACAAGCTTAAGCAATGGTGTCATCGAATGGTGCACACTCGGTAAGTCATCCTATAATTTTTTGTTTATAGCATAGTTTATTTGGATTATTCCCAAAAAATTATGTGTTTTGGAAATGTTGAGTCGAATTAGTCTAGAATCGATTAATTTTATGGAAGAAAACCTTTCAAACAGCCATAGTCCCTAAACTGCACACATGCTGGGCTGTGATTGGCTCATGTATTTAAGTGACTCGTAAAACACTGAATTCATATAAAACAGAATGTCTCTACCATGTTATAGGGGGTCTACTGTGTTAGTATCAAATTTTAGTAATCATTATTAGTCAATAATATTTTACTGATAACCAATAGAGAAGTTAATAACTTCTCTATAGAGAACCATTAGAGATAACTAATAGAGAAGTTAATAACTTCTCTATTGGTTATCAGTAAAATATTATTGACTAATAATGATTACTAAAATTTGATACTAATACAGTAGACCCCCCATAACATGGTAGATACATTCCATTTTATATGAATTCCGTGTTTTACGAGTCACTTAAATACATGAGCCAATCACAGCCCAGCATGTGTGCAGTTTAGGGACTACGGCTGTTTGAAAGGTTTTCTTCCATAAAATTAATCGATTCTAGACTAATTCGACTCAACATTTCCAAAACACATATAATTTTTTGGGAATAATCCAAATAAACTATGCTATAAACAAAAAATTATAGGATGACTTACCAAGTGTGCACTATTCGACCAATAGAGAAGTTAATAACTTCTCTATTGGTTATCAGTAAAATATTTTTCATATTCAATAACCACACTTCTGGCCATAAAAATTGCTACACCACAAAGATGGCATGCAGCAAACAAAATTTGTATGAAAAGTACAACATACTGAGTGCTCTGTATCTCAATGATTATTTGTCAGTTTAATCATGTCTTGCTATCATTATACCAGTGATTCTCAACTTTTTTTTTATCACAGGACAATTTTAATAATTAAAAAATTTGGCAGCATCTACTACAGTACTTAATGAAGTAAGTCCTATGGTAATTACTTCAGTAAGTACTGTAGGACAACCAGTGATGTCATAACAGTGATTTTTAAATGCAGTTGGTTATTTAGATCACATTTTCTAAACATTTTTGTAACTACCGGCAGTTTCCGGTAACACCAGTTACAATTTCCAAACGCACCCTAGGAAGGTAGAACCAATTAAACTACTTGTCTCATGTCCCTTATGTATGGGACATTTGCAGTGACGGCACACTTCAAAAATCTCATGGCACACTAAAGTGCCGCAGCACAGTGGTTGAGAATCACTGCATTATACTGTATGTGTACAATAAACATGATTCTGCTGTTTGCTTTCCTTCTTTGTGTAGTAATTTTAATGGCCAGCAGTGTATTAATAAAGTTATCAAATGTTGAATATAACTGTGAAAAAATTAATTATACAATTAAGAAATTGATAAATCTAATAGTTTTCATTACTATGAAATTAAATTTAAAATCAAAATTATTTGATATAAACAATTATGCATATACTAACAGGTAAGCCTGGCATTGACTGCACAAAAAATAAGAACAAGCATTAAGATTATTAGATTATTTCATACTTCTAACTCTTCTATTATATTACATTATAGTAGTATTTGGTTTATATACAAGGGTGGATCCAAAAAAATTACAAGGATAATAAAAAATTATTTATTAACAATGTACAGAAAATACAAAAGGAAATTAAGAGGATTGCTTGCCGATTACTTTTCCACATTATGACCAAATCTATTTAGACATTTATCTGAATGCAGGACCAACTTGTATAACACGGCTTGGTAGAAATCACATCCCTGCTCATTGAACCAGTTCTTGTCAGCTGTTTTCACATCACTGCCTGAAGAGAACCTTGTTCCAGATAAGTGTTCCTTCATTTTCGGAAAAAGGAAATAGTCACTGGGTGCCAAATCTGGGTTGTATGGGGGATGGCTCCAGACTTCTCATTTGAACTTTTGCAGAATTGTTGAGTTTCGCAAGCAGTATGGGACCTATCATGCAGGAGGATGACATTATCACTCAACATGCCAGGGTGTTTACATCAGATGGCTTCACGTATCCTTGTCAAAGTGGCACAATAATGATTGGCAGTAATGGTATGGCCACACTCCAGATACTCAATTAAGATAAACACTGCATGAATTCCAGAATATGGTTGCCATAACTTTACCGACAGAGGGTGTAACCTTAAACTTCTTTCTCGTTGGTGATCTAGCATGTTTCCGCTCCATAGTGGCTCTTTTGGTTGTGGGGACGAAATGATGAAGCCACGTTTCATCCCCAGTAATGATGTGATCCATGAAGTGCTGCCATCAGAATGGTAACATTTAAGAAACATGAGACTGCACATTATTCGTGTGGCTTTCTGCTCCTCGGATAATGCACGTGGTACCCAGCGGACACAAACTCTGGAATATCGCAACACATCAGAAACGATACTCTGCACAGTACCATAGCTCAGTCCCAGCTCTGACACAATTGCATGCACAGTTGCCCATCAATCACTTTGAATCATTTCTTCAACTTGTACCATGTTGATTTCTGTTGTTGAAGAACTTAGATGGCCACTCACTACACTGTTGCGGTTTTCCACATCCTCTCTGCCCGATTGAAAAGAGTGTCACCATTTCACTATATGTTGTCTGCCCATTGCTTTTTCGCCATAAACTTCCACGATTTGACTGAATTTCAGATGTGGACACATTCTTTGCCCATAAGAAAACAAATCATGGCTTGCACATCCAAGCAAGACCACTTTTCTAAATGTCTGGCCATTTCAGTTGCTCTGCAAACTTACACTACCTACCCGAACAACCACTGTAATACAACTAGTGCCATCTTTCTCCATTCTGGGGGAAAAATATTTCCTCCACATTAATTACTTTTCAAATGCTTCTGCTTGTAACCTTTTTTTCTTTTTTTTTCTTTCTTTTTTTTTGGATCTACCTACATAACTACAAAGGTTAACTTATATAAGAGTTTATCACACTGAGTGACTAATCTAACACATTTTAAAGATTCTTTAAATTGTGTACAGATGAGGAATAGAGAATTTTTAAAATGTGTTAGATTGTTTATTTGGTGTGATAAACTCTTATTTAAGATAACCTTTATAGTTATATACATCAAATACTATAATATAACAAATAGGGTTTTTCATTTCCTGGTCTTTTGCTTGTCCTGTGATTTCGGGGAAAAAGTGAAACTTTCCCGAGGTCCTTAGATAAAAATAATTTTTTTTAAAGATATACAAATATCTTGAAATCAAATGATATAATTATTTTTCATTTTTTAAAGTAATTTAATATGTTCTGCAACCTCCAAAATCATATTAATAATGCTATGTAAGATATATATTAAAAAATTATCTTTGAATTATGTAGAAATTTTCACAAATAGAAAAAATTTATTAAAGTTTGCTGGAAACTGTGTACAACAAAAAAAAAGCTTTGAATTGAGTTGAAAATTTAAAAAAAATGAGCTTAGATCAAACTTCTAACTTAAAAGGTAATTTACTTTTTAAAATAAAACATAATACAAAATATTATTTTAAATTTTTATAATAAGATTTTAAAAAGCAAAGATGGTCAATACTCTGATAACTCAATCTGGTTCTTATTTTAATAATGAAAAGTCCTGCTTCCAAGAATGCCCTTTCTGATTGAATTGATGTGAGTGGAATCATGTTTAATGCATTTAAGAGAAGACAGATGTTGTGTTTTTTCACCTGTAGCTTGGAAGATTTTTAGTTCATTTTCAAGATTGTAGTGCTTCTTTTGCTCTCTAGTATTCTTGATTTGTCTAACTTGGCTGCTTTGATAGAAACATCAAGCTTATAGCCCAATAATTCGGGAGTTCGTTTTTCTGTAATAATCATGTTTATGAAGAAAAACTTCATACTTGCAGACTTCATACTCATTTGTATCCTTGCCCAATTGCACAACCTTGCATTACACAGTTATTGAAGTTACAGGGCATGGATAAAATTAAGACAGCATAAGCACAATTATTCCAGATATTACAGGTTCTGACAAGTAAAGAATTTTCAGAGTCCTGCCACAAATAAGCTACGTATTGATTATTGACTGCTTGTGACATGCCATAGCGAGCAAAAATTAAAAAAAAAAAAACTAATAGGCAGGTTTAAAATTAATAAATACAAATGTATTCTGACAGTT